CCAATCAAGACAAAGCCCATGACCCTAGGAGAAGTGGTTCAATGGAAGTGGTAGTGTTGAAGGTGGGCAAGACTGGCTATGGAAACATTAGCGGGTGAACCTAGAACAGGCTTCTCCCTACTTGAGAACCTTCGGTGGCTCCCTGATCACCACTAGGAAGAAACCCAAACTCCTTCAGAAGTGCTGAGAGGTTTCAGACTGTATGTGCAGTCCTGTCTCTATAGCCTCTGGTCACAAGGAATGATTCACAGCTCCCCCAAAACATGCAGGTCTCCTCCATATCCTATGTCTCTTCCTCCCACACCCTCTTACCTGGTGAACTCCTCCCTTTTCTCAAACATTATCTCCTTCAGGAAGCCTTCTGTGATTTCGTTAGACTAAGGTGCCCTCCAAGTGGTACTCTGAGAGCCCCCTTTATAGACATATTTCCATGCTGCAGTGATCTGACCATGTGTCTGCTTCCCCACATCTCCAATCATGTAATACCTCATTTCTGAGTACCTACTATGTTCCAGGCCCTATGGTGGTGCTTAGTGTACAAAAAGGCATGCCAGAGGCCTACCTCATGAAGCTTACATCCCAGTAGAGCAGCAGATGACTAAGTGTCATCACAAGGGCTGGGAATGTTGGTCAGAGTAGAGCACTTGCCTAGCATATTCAAAGCTCTGGGTCCAATTCCAGCACTGGGGGGAAAAGTGTCATCATGGGCTCTACTGTTATTGAGCTCTCACACCCAGAAATGTTTGCCCAATGAAAAAGTGTCACCAAAGGGGAGACAGCCCTGAAGGTCTGGATGCACTGGGAGGGGGTGGGTGAGATGGGTTACCTGGAGGCCAATGGACAACCTGTTGACTCCTGCTGCTCCAAATTCTGCCAGCCTGGAGGCTGGGGACGAAGTGGGATTAGCCTCCAGCGTGACTTCCGAGTCTGCAGGCAGGTGAGCTATCTGTGCCACAGCCTCCAGAACAGCAGCCACAGTATGGGGACTGGCCAGACTGGGGGTTCCCCCACCAAAGAACACAGACTCTACCCTGGGGAAAGATGATGGAGAAGATGACACCGGGAGAGGCCTGTGGCATGCTCTGCACCCGTCTTCCTCTCCAAAACCCCGGCTACAGTCCCCAGTACAGACCGTTGCACCCCGCTGAGCCGCAGCAGCGTCCGCACCTCAGTGACCAGACAGTTCCGCATGGCAGCCTCCTCCACACCGCGAGGGATGTATTTATTGAAGTTACAGTAACTGCATCGCTTCTCACAATATGGCCACTGCGGGCAGAGGGTGTATGTGCAGGGTGAGGCGTGACTCTGGGCACCCTGGGCGCTTCCTGGGTTCATAGCAAACATTCCCATCCTCATTCCGAGGTCGGTCAACAGTGGCTAGGACATCTAAACCACCACTCCCAAACCAGGTCGCCCTGGGATTATTATCCCCACTTTAGCATGAGAAAACCGAGGCTTGGAAGGTCACAGAGCTGGTGACTACCCTGACCTTGACATTTCCCTGCCAGGGCACCAGGACCTATCGGAGACCTCGTCTGGGGGCGGGGAAAGGCAGCAGGCAGGTCCATCGCGTGACAAACGCCACCTGGGTTCTGATACGCCAGACCTCTGCCCTCCCGCGCGCCACTCACGTGCACGTAAACCGCCGCGCGCCTGCTGGGGGGCTCAGGACTTGGGGACCCTCCCCCACTGTCCACGCGGCGGCGCCTCTGGGCCGCTTTGGCTGCTGCCACCAAGCCGCGGGCCCGGGCAGCGGGGAGAACCATGGCGCACAGCGCAGTGGGGACTGGGATCGTGCCCAGGGCGCACGGGTGTACGCAGAGCAGGGTCGCGTGTGCTGCCCAGGCGGAAGGAAGAGAGGCTGCGTGACCTCGCGCCGCCTCGGAAGGCCTTGGATCTGCGGCGCCACCTGCCGGACACCGATGCGCTCATCGCAGCCTCCTGTTCTTCCTCTCCCAAGAACGCGGGGCGCGTCTTTTGGTACCCTATACCAGGGCAAGTTCCCTGACCCATCCAGGAGCTTAGTTTGTCCCATCACTTCCTTCACATTTCATGTTCCTGTCTCAGAGCTGGGCGCTGAGGACATCTAGGTGCAGAAGATCGGGAGAAGTCAACGAACAGGTGAAGACAGGCAGCACAACTAATGCAGTGCCTGCTGGACGCCAGGCCGGTGTGTTCAGTGCAGGGAGGGCCTCTGTTATAAGAGCCATGGAGTCCCTGAGGGAGGAGAGGACACTTGGGCTGGATCTTGAAGGAGCAGAAAGTCCCGGAGGGATTGGCTTGGCCATAAGAGTATGCTGTAATGTCTAGGTCAGGCCAACCCAGGACAGTCAGAGATGGTGTGTGCAGGAGAGAGTGAACAGGTGATAGCTTGCAATTCTCAAGAATAACTGTAGAATGTGCTGGAGGTACAACTACTGAGATAAGGAGGAACTGGTCAGAACAGCTCAGGCTCTGTTCTAGTACCTCTTGTCCTCTTCCCCTCACCCTAAAGAAGACTTCTTTCTTTTTCTTTTTTAATATTTTTTTATTTTTTGGCAGACACAACATCTTTGTTTGTATGTGGTGCTGAGGATCGAACCCAGGCCACACGCATGCCAGGCGAGCGCGCTACCGCTTGAGCCACATCCCCAGCCCAAGAAGACTTCTTTCAATGCTTTAGTCCAATATGGCACATGGTCACCAAGGGGAGGCTGGTTTCCAGGGCCCTTCAAGTCCAGTGCAAGCAGGGCACACACAGATGAGACTCTATTCACACCAGGAAACTTTTCTGAGCCTTGGGGCAACTGGCTTGAAATGAATCCAAGGCTTCTGTTGACCCTTGTTGCCTATCTATAAGTAATACACCCACTTCATGTAGTGTGTGTGTGTGTGTGTGTGTGTGTGTGTTTTGTCTCATGGAACTTGGACAAGTTAGTGGCCAGTGCACAGTGAATCTGCTTCTGGGTTCTAGCAGGGTGCTGTGGCACACACCTGTAATCCCAGTGGCTCAGGAGGCTAAGGATCAAGAGTTCAAATCCTATACCAAAAGCGAGGCATTAAGCAACACAGTGAGACTCTGTCTCTAAAGAAAATACAAAAAAAAAGGGGGGGGGGTGCTGGGGATGTGTCTCAGTGGCCGAGTACCCTGAGTTCAACCCCTGGTATCTCCCCCAAAAAGATAGCTGGCTCCTAATCCCAGCTGTGTGGCCTTGAGCAAGACACTGAACCTCTTTGAGTTTCAGTGACAGTGTTTGTGAATTGGGCCAATGCCTATGTGATAAAGTCATTGGCAAGATTTCAAAAGAAAATGTACATGAAAACATCTAGTGTAGTGCCTGGCACTCAGAGGATCCTAAATACATAATCATTTCTTAAAAAGTAAGACAGCTGCAATTGCTGCTGCTGGAGACAGACATCCCAGGAGGTGAGGGCTGCAGGCGGGAGAAAAGTTTGTCTCTGAACTGGGAACTGAAATGGAGGGAAAACAATAAATCCTATAGCTTCACTTGCTTTTCATTACACGATTTTAGTTGACTTTTCAAATCACTAATTTTGGAGGTTGCAGTGGAGTGATATATTATTAGTCTCCCACCAGTTCTGCACTAGATAACACCCCTGACATGGGGGTCATGATTATAAACAGTTGCCCAGGTTACTTTTCAGGGACCCGAAGGCTATTGATTGAAAAACAATGATTCATCACTTGGGCCTATGCAAATATCCAATTGGTGACATTTTGACATCAAGGGGCCAAAAACTCCACCCTCAGATGGTGCTAAAGGGACCCCATTTTCTAAAAATGTGTCCTATGAAGAGCTATGAAGACTGGTTACATTGTCAGGTGTGGTGGCACACACTAGTAATCCCACCGACACGGGAGTCTGAAGCAGAAGGATCACAAGTTTGAGACTAGCCTCAGCAACTTAGCAAGAGCCTGTCTCCAAATAGAAAAAGAAAAGGGGTAGGGATGTAGCTCAGTGGTAGAACACCTCTGAGTTTAATCGTCAGTGGGGGGGGGGGTGAGCACACTTGGGATGTGCCAACCACTGATCACCTCCAGTCACACTGCTCTTTATCAATCGCCCTGCTTCTTTATCCCATAAATATCCCCAAGCCCTGCCCTGTGGGAGGTAGGTCTGAGACTTGGTTCTCCCATCTCCTCATGCTTTGCTGCTTCATGAATAAACTTTCTTTTGCAAAACTCCTGGTGTTAGTGATTGGCAAACTGCACAGCAGGCAAAACAGGCTGGTTAAGTAACAGTACCTATGTGCCTTGTAGAAGCCAACTGTTTTTTTATTTCTTGGGTCAAATGACAGCCTGCTTTATTTTTACTGGGTTGATTGGGAAGGATGGGAGGAGTGATAGTTAAAGGGTATGGGGTTTCTTTTTGAGGTAACAACAACATTCAAAATTGACTTTGGTGGTGATGGTTACACATATCTGTGACTGTATTGAAATCCACTGGTGCCAGGCATGGTGGTGCATGCCTGTAATCCCAGCGGCTTGGGGGGCTGAGACAGGAGGATCAAGAATTCAAAGCCAGCCTAAGCAAAGGCACTAAGCAGCTCAGTGAGACCCTGTCTCTAAATAAAATGCAAAATAGGGCTGAGGATGTGTCTCAGTGGTCCAGTGCCCCTGAGTTAAATCCCCAATACCACCTTGCCAAAGGAAAAAAAAAAAAAAAACCACTGGAAAAACTATATTTTAAATGGATGTTTTGGATAGTATGTGAATTATATCAATAAAGCTCTTATTTTTTTATCTTTTTTTATTAGTTGTTCAAAACATTACAAAGCTCTTGACATATGCTCTTATTTTTTTTAAAAGAATATTTATTGTTGGACTTCTCTGGCAACAATGTGAAAAATGATGGATCAGGTAAAGCTTACAAAAGAAAAAATGGAAGCCGGGTATGGTGGTGCACACCATAATCCTAGCAATTTGGGAGGCTGAGGCAGGAGGATTACAAGTTCAAGCCTGACTTAGTAATTTAGGAAGACCCTGTCTCAAAATAAAAAGGGCTGAGGATGGTTGTAAAGTATCCCTGGGTTCAATCCCCAGTACCAAAAAGAAGAAGAAGAAACAGAAAAAATGGGTTTGCAACCTCAAAGGGATGGGGTGAGGGTTAGATTAAACAGATCATCTACTTAAAAAGTAGTATTCAGAGGAATCAGTCTGAAAGTGCTGGTTTCTCTTGAGACTCCTCCTTTCTCCATCCACTGTCGTTCCAGAGAGAGTACTCCAGCCAGAGACCAGGAAACATAGAGCTCTTTATGCCAAATGACAAAGAAGACTGGGGCTTGGGGGGAGGGGCCGGAGGCAGGCCGGGTTGGACCCCTCCTCCCCTGGATTCACAGTTTCAGATGTCTTTCCATCTGCTCTCGGAGTTTGTATTTCTGGATCTAGAGGAAAAACAAAGGAGCGAGAGTCAGGTGGAGTCCCCGCCTGTTAGGGTGAGCAACCACAACCGTTTGCTTGGGACTGAGGGTTTTTTCAGTTTTTAGTGTTAAGATTGAGAAAGCCTGGGACAAATCAAGATGAGATGACAGGTTAGTCCCCCTATGCTGCCTCTCCTGCTCACCACGGAGAGAGGCATGGGTTGGGCCACCTGGAGTCCCATGACACCCTGCCCCTCCCTGGCCACCTCCACTTCACACACCTTTCCTGAGACAGTGAGGGGGTAGTCCCTGACAAAGACGATGTAGCGGGGGATCTTGAAGTGGGAGATCTGCAGAACAGAAAGATAAAGCAAGACGCTGGGCAAAGTCACAGGGCTAGGGTTGGGGCAAGAGGGCTCACTTGGCTGGAGAGTCATGTCTGTAAGGGTGGGGCATTCCCCAATCCTGGATGGTTGGCAGGAACAGGTGTGTGAGGGAACACTCAGGGGTCGGGGAGATGGAGGACACTGAGGCTCCCACCTTCCCTTTGCAGAAAGCTTTGATCTCTTCCTCAGTGGTGGTCTCCCCACTCTTTAGCCGGATGCAGGCACAAATCTCCTCCCCCATCCTGTGGTCCTTCACTCCCACCACCTTCCAAGGTCAGAGACAAATATCAGACATCATCATTTTCCTGCTTGTTTCTTGGATCACACCTGGGCTCACCTGGCCTGGGTGCCTCACCTGCACTTCCTGCACCTGTGGGTGTGTGTGGAAGAAATCCTCAAGTTCTGCTGGGTAGATGTTCTCACCGCCCCGGATGATCATGTCCTTAGAGCGACCCACGATCTTGCAGAAGCCCTGCTCGTCTATGGAGGCGATGTCTCTGTAGGTGAAGCCGAGGAATGCCCTCTATTCTCTGCTTTAACTGGCTCCCTTGCTCACTCATTCATCAAACATTTATTGAGCACCTGCTATATGTCCCCCATTGTTCTAGAAGACCCAGCAGGAATAAGACACATTCTCTGCAACTTATAGTCTAGGTAGGAAGGCAGAGAACAATAAACCAGTACAATACCTATCACATATTTTCTCTTTCTCTTTCCCTATCTGTGCACTTGCTTTTCAAGGCTGGTTTCTGTTTCATCATTCATGTCTTAGATCAAAAGTTTCCAAAGGCCTTCTCTGACCACCGGCTCTGAGGAAAGCTCCCCTCCCCATTACAGCCACCTTTTCTCCTATAGTGCACACAGCATAGAATCCCATTTAATTTTTTGATGTCCAAAATAATCTGTCATCCTCTTCCAGACAAGTGGGAAGTAAAAGCAGGGTCCTTTTTATCTTGCTCTCCACTGGGGCAACAGCAGCAAGAACAATGCTGGCCCCTAGGAGGTGAGTACTAAGAATGTGCTGAGCTAACAAATGAGTGACTGAATCAATCTTGGCTCCAATTTTGGGAATATGGCTACAGCACACTGTTCTGGTGTCTTGTCTCCATGCTAGGTGTGGTTACCCACGTTGTACACATTTTGGAAGTCAAGTCTCCAGGATGAGAGGGGCCCTCTGGACACCCACATCCTCCTTGTGCTAATGTTTCCAGCTCAGTCTCAGAACCCACAGTCTCCCCTCAGTAGCCGGAGTCTCTCCCCCACCCTGCCTTCTCACCCTGTTCGATACCACTTGTCCTGCCCAACTGCTTCAAAGGTCTTCTGAGGCTCTCCCCAGTATCCCTGCATGACGCAGTACCCTCGGATGCACAGCTCCCCGGGCGTGTTCAGCTCGGCCAGCTCCCCTGTATTCACGTTCACGATCCGGGCCTGGGACAGGTCAACTTCAGGCTGGGGCCACCTGCCCACTCGTTCCAGGACTGGCAGCTCTTAGGGATGGGGAAAGCTTTGCCTTCCCTTCACCCAATAATGAAGTCCCCTGGCTCTGCCCATCACAGCCCAGGGAAGGGAGAGAGGCCAGAGTAGACTCATCACCAGTCAGAGACCTGAGCTGGCATGAAAGATCAGTCAAGGCCAAGGCCAGGGGTGCTGAGGGAAGAGGAGGCAGGGAAGGAAGCTTGTGGAGGGCCAGGCCAGCTGAAGAATTATAAACTGCAGAAGGGAAGGGAGTCTCCTCTGACTTCCTGTTAAGCACCAAATAAAGAAGCCAAGGAGGGTGGTGTGGCAGTGCCATGTGATCAGGAGAGGCAGTCTGAAAGCCTAGTACAAAAGGAACCACACACAGCCAGGCGCAGTGGCACATGTCTACAATCCCAGCAACTCAGGAGACTGAGGCAGGAGGATGGAAAACCCAAGACTAGCCTCAGCACCTTAGTGAGGCCCTAAGTAAATTAGCAAGACCTTGTCTCAAAAAATAAAAAGGGCTGGGGATGTGGTTCAGTGGTTAAGAGTTCCTGGGTTCAATCCCCTGTACCAAAAAAAAAAAAAAAAAGAAAGAAAGAAAAAGGAGCCACAGCCAGTGTGTCTCGGTTTGTGCATCCAAATATGGGCATAAATATGTCAGTTCCAGACTACCTTCCAGTTGGGTATCCCAGTGGGGGTGGCAGTAAGGCTGTCAGATATGGGAGGGGCTCATATTCCTGCATACTCACTTCCCATGGGACTGCTCCAGTTGGGAGGGTAGGAGAGAGGAGATGCACCTGAGGAGAGGTGAGTCCCAAGGGAAGCAGCTGCATGGAACCCCTGGCAGTAACCCCACAGGGACAGAGAAACTGGTATGGCAAAGGAGTCATGGCTGGGAATTTGAAATTGAGATGAGCTCCGGACAGTGTCTGAGATGCAAGGGACCCCCAGAGGGACAGGCTGCTTGGGAAACCATCTACACCCAGTCAGAAGAGCAACTCCACCAAAGCGAGAGGCAAGAGTCAACGGGGGAGAAAGAGCTAGGTAGGAAAAATCTCTGTGCTCTGGCCCCTCTTTGAGGCTTCCCTGGCTGCCCTGAAGCAGACAGTGGGCTTGGCAAAAACACACCTCAGACAGGAAGGGAGGCAGCTGGCAGCTGCTCAGGGCCTCTCTCCCAGCTCTTCCCCTTTCAGCCCACAGAGAGCCTTGGCCAGGCCCAGCAAAGATCCTGCTTCTAGGGGCTTTCAGCATCTTCTGTGAACTGTTGGGACCTCTAATGGAAAGCAATAAATGTCTCTGAGTGGTGGAAGTTGAGGTCTGAGGGTCTTGGTCGGGGGCTCACCTCTGTGTGAGGCATAACTCTGCCCACACTCTCTGCCTTCTGCTCCAGAGTGTCCTCAGGGAAGTTCATGAAGGTCACAGGACTATTCTCTGTAGTTCCATAAACAACCTAGAGGGTCCAGAAAGGGGGTTTGATGGGAGCTCAGCAATTACAGAGGGATGGGTGAGCTACTCAGGGCAGTTGAATAGTAGGAACTGAGACATCATTGGTTGATAGGGGCCCGGGAAGGGGGCAGAGACATTGATCTCTGCAGGGGTCCCGGATATGAAATAAAACTGAGACCTGGGAAGCCATTCTGTCCTAGCCAGGGCTCTCAGTCCTGCTTCCTTAGAGCAGTCACATGTCTGTCTGTGGCTCCTGGCATTACCAACATCCTAGACTTCTTTCCCCCATCCACATGCTGCCTTAGCCCCACCTTCCTGATTTCAGGCCACAACATCCTCTCTCCCTTCCTTCCAAACCGAAGGCCCCATAAACTTGATGAGAAAGCCAGTCCACCTTGGCCAGCTAGGAGTGGCACAGATGCAACCCACCCCCAAAACCTGGGACAAGTGCCTGACCTTGGGGTGGGTGCCCCAGAGCTCTGCAGAATTTCCTGTAAATTTACTTTCATCAAAATAAAATACAACCAGAGCAGGGATTTAAAACGCCTGTGGCACTCACAACCCCCAGCCCCACCCCTCCTCTTTCAGTGGTTGGAACATCCTGAGCATCAGAAAAATCAGAAGCCAGCCTAAATACCATCAGAGAATGTTATAGATCACCCTGTATTCTACTAGATCTTTGTCTGTGGCCCCCGATCCCCCTGTATCAGCTGGTGTGGCTCTGGCAAAGCTGGGGTCTAGTTCCTCCCCTATCCCCCAAAATGGACAATACCTCTTGCCAGGCAGCCCAGAGCTTACCTGGGACCAGAGCTATGACCTTCCTGCTCACCCTCCCCTGTCCACAGGAATCCGGACACGGTGGCTGGCAAGTGGGCACTCAGAGACCTGACCCAGCTGGGGAGGGCTGCCCACAACCTTGTGCATCTGGCAGCCTGAACTGGCCAGGGCTGATCCTGACCCCGCCTCATCCATCCTCACAGTCCTGGGGCCACTGCCCAGGCGTGGCCTCTGCCAAGTACACCTCGGCGCCACTCGGCTGCCACCCTAAGACCCCTCAGGGGTGGATCCTGACCACTGGGAGATGGGGATATTTGGGGGGAGATCTAGGAGGGGGATGGTACGACTGTGTCCCGTGGCCTGTGGTCTCCGAATGTTTTGCCAGTTCTGTGGGTCACTTCCCACGCCTCCGCCCCCAAGTTCCCACTTCTCTGCTTAGCCTTCAGCCCTAGAAAAGAGGGTGGGGTGCGCGGGACAGAATCGCAAGCCTAGGACTAGAAGAGAAGAGTCAGGGAGGAGCCCAAGGATGAAGGCGCTCCTTAGGGTCGGCTCTGGAGTGTCTAGCCAGAAGGGGGAGCCCGACGCCAGAAGGGCTCTCACGCTCGGCTGGCGCAGCACAAGAGTCCCATTAAAGCGCCGCCGGCTTGCCGACCACGGCGAGACGCATCCCGCTGTCCGGCCCCGCTTCCTCTCTCCCTGGGTTCAGGGCACCCCGCCGAGTGTGCATTGGGTGGGGGAAACATGGAGGCTCAAATTTGAGCAAACAAATAAGTTCGGGGAACGCCTCCTCTCCGGTGTAAACTTGGGGCTCTAGACACACCCATGATCGCCCCCCCCCCAAAAAAAAAGCCCAGGGAAAGGAGGTAGGGGGAGAAAGGGCATCTCATCTGAGAGCAGGCAGCAAAGGTCTCAGACTGAGGGGTACGGTCTTGGCCCCCCATGCATGGTCGCCAGGTGGGGGAAGGGCCCCTGGCCCTGTCGCCATGGAGGGCGGGGGAGCATCTCTGGGCGCGAGGGAGTTAAGTCCAGTGGCCTCGATGCTCCACGTAGTAGCTGGCTCAGGCCGCCGGCTGCGGTCAGGGCCACCATATAAATAGGGCGGGAGACCCAAGCGCCCAGAACTTGCCGCTGCCCGCACCTGGCCGTCGCTGACCCTAGCCCCGGCTCCAGGCATCCTGGCCATGGCCCGCGCAATGCTCTTACTTAGCCTCGGCATTCTGGCCAGCCTTCTGCCGGCGCTGGACGCCTGCCCCCAGAACTGCCACTGCCACGGAGACCTGCAGCATGTCATCTGTGACAAAGTGGGGTTGCAGAAGATCCCCAAGGTGTCAGAGAAGACCAAGCTGCTCAACCTACAGCGCAACAACTTCCCGGTGTTGGCTGCTAACTCGTTTCGGGCCATGCCGAACCTCGTGTCGCTGCACCTGCAACACTGCCAGATCCGCGAGGTAGCCGCGGGCGCCTTCCGCGGCCTCAAGCAGCTCATCTACCTGTACCTGTCCCACAACGACATCCGCGTGCTGCGTGCGGGCGCCTTCGACGACCTGACTGAGCTCACCTACCTCTACCTGGATCACAACAAGGTGACCGAGCTGCCCCGCGGGCTGCTGTCCCCTCTAGTCAACCTCTTTATTTTGCAGCTCAACAATAATAAGATCCGTGAGCTGCGCGCAGGCGCCTTCCAGGGCGCCAAGGACCTGCGCTGGCTCTACCTGTCAGAAAATGCGCTCAGTTCTCTGCAGCCCGGAGCTCTGGACGATGTAGAGAACCTCGCCAAGTTCCATCTGGACAAGAACCAGCTATCCAGCTACCCCTCCGCTGCCCTGAGCAAGCTGCGGGTGGTGGAGGAGCTGAAGCTGTCCCACAATCCCCTGAAGAGCATCCCAGAAAACGCCTTCCAGTCTTTCGGCAGGTACCTGGAGACCCTCTGGCTGGACAACACCAATTTGGAGAAGGTGAGTGCTTGACTGCAGAGCTCTGCCCGGCTCCTTCTTCTCCCCCTGAAGGCTGGGAGCTAGGACCACAGCCGGGCACCATCCCCTCTCCTCAAATTCCCTGTCCCTCTGGCTATCTCAAGGCAAGGAGCTCTGCCACCTCTCCCTCTTCTTGTCACATCCCCACCCTAATCCTTATCTGGCTGCCCTCCCAGGACTCCTGCATCTAAGAGGAGAGGGGCTACCCTGGCCCCAAAAATGGCCTCTTAGGAGGCCTCTGTAGTGCTCCCAAACCCCCACTGTGAGCAGTGCCCACCTCTTCCGGTGGGGCCTTCCTCCCCTCCTCTGCTGTTTTTCCCAGTCTCCAGTAAACCTACCATCCCATAAAGAAAGGTTTGTTTATTGAGAAGGCTTCCAGAGTTTCTGGGCAAATCAGGCCCACAAAGAGACCCTGTTCCTGGTGGGGGAAGGCCTGTGTGCTAAGGTGGACTGGGGAGTGAGGGGGGAGCAAATACCTGAGGAAGACCTCTACACCCCTCAGAGGTCCTGGTGGATGTGCTGCCCCCACCCCCACCAATACACACACACACACACACACACTTACTCACTCACGCCATGATATTTTCAGGTTCATTCTACCTAAGTAGGGAAGTCAAGGCATGGGGACCAAAGACTCCCTAGGCTGCAGAGCCATATGAAAGAGCAAAGGCAAGCACTCCATTGTCAGCCCTTTGCACTAGACAACCCACAGGAAAGCCTGGGCTGTGTGTGCTTCACTGTCCCCCAGACTGCTGGCTGCCCTTTGCCCATTCTAGTCCCCAGACCCATCTCCTGTGTGCATTCTCACTTAGTCCTTCTTCCCCTGGGATGCCAGTCTGGCCAGATCTCTTCCTTGGGACTGGAAAATCACCCTGGGACAGAGGCTTCAGACAGGAGGTTTGGTTGGGGGCCAGGACAAGGTAGAGGACAGTCTGGTCACTAGAGAATGTCACACCTTAACCTAGGCTGTAGGAGAAGGCACAGACATGGAGAAGATGACAGAATCCACCTGGGCAGCAGCCAAACTTTGCCTGGTTGGATGGAGCCTGCCAGGGCTTGCCCTTCTGTAGCTCAGACCCCACCCCCACTGGTGGTGGGATCCTCTATGAGCCACTAGTGCCAGAGTGGCCTTTTGGTGGGCAGCAGAACAGCATATCAGGGACTGATTTGGGTTAGGGGCAGCCAGACAGGAACAGTGGCGCCTGGGGCCAAGATGTGGGCACCAATGGAACATTTCCTCTGGAGCTGTCCAACTGGCCAATGTTTTCACCAAGGTGGCTCCACAAATAGTGTCTGGCAGGCAGTGAGGATAAAGCTGGGGGAAGTCCCAGGACCCTGGGCTGTGGGCAGCCTGGGCCTGCTGCCTACCCTGCCAAACACTGACCAGGTTCACCGTGTGCCAGTCTGAGCTCCTGGGGACAAATTCTGGCTGCCTTAGCAGCCCAGTATTTGCACAGGGAGTGTGGTGCCCAGGGGAGGGGTGTGGGGTGTGGTCCTAGGGCTACTATTTACTCTCTAGTGTGACTCTGGCTAAAGGGACAGAACTTTTTTTTTCCTTTTTATCATCTGCTGGTTAGAAACAACACCTCCTATCTCAAAAGGGCCATGGGGATTAGCTCATCAAGATAACTTGATCACTCTTCTTTGAAAACTCCTCAAGGTACCAAGGCCTGTGTCCAGGGGAAGACCCTGCTCCTCTGTGGGGACAGAACTGGGAAAGGCTGGACACAGGCTAGAGCACTCATTCCGGCCCACCTCACCTCCCTAGTTCTCAGATGGTGCCTTCCTGGGTGTGACCACGCTGAAACATGTCCATTTGGAAAATAATCGCCTGAACCAGCTGCCCTCCAACTTCCCTTTTGACAACCTGGAGACCCTCACCCTCACCAACAACCCTTGGAAATGTACCTGTCAGCTTCGGGGTCTTCGGCGGTGAGAATATTCCCATGTCACCCACAGAATCTCCCCTCATTTGGCCCCACATTTAGCTATCCTGGGTACACATTCCAGATCTGCTAGTAAGCACGGGACCCTGGGAGCCTCAATTTCCTCATTTGTAAAATGAGGATGACAGCTCCAGTCTATCCTGAGGTCAAGTCCATCCTGGCCCTATAGTTCACTGTCCCTTCCCCTCAGTATTCCCACACCTTTCCCCAACCCCAGCAACTTTCTGTTTCTCCAGATGGCTGGAAGCCAAGGCTTCTCGCCCAGATGCCACCTGTGCCTCACCCGCCAAGTTCAAGGGCCAGCACATCCGTGACACAGACGCCTTCCGCAGCTGCAAGTTCCCCACCAAGAGGTCCAAGAAAGCAGGCCGCCATTAAACAGGTTGGGGCTGGGCAGGCAGGTCCCCCTTTTTCCTCTTTGGAGATTCTAGCAAGTGAGCTGGTATCACTCATGATTCCCCCACCTCTGCAGGAGGGGAGAACTGGTGTTCCCCTCTGGGAGGAAAAGATAGTGCCCAGGACTCCCACTGTCCTCTCTTACATTGTTTATGATGTTGGAGTCCTAACACACATCCTCACCTCACCACAGGTCCTGACCCAGCCAGTCCTGGTGACTGGCCTCTGCCTTCTGCCGGAGAGACTACTGACCTTCCCACCACCACCCGCTCCTCCCCTCAGCCTCTGCTGATGCACAGAGCTGCCCACAGCGACACACGTCCTGGCAGAGGGCCCTGGGCACTGTACCACCAACCCAGCTCCACCTGACAGGGTGCAGGGGAGGACCCAAAGCCCCTCTCAACCATCACGGCTGGCCCTGTTGTGGCTCCTCTCAGAGAAGCTGGTGTCAACACCCCCGAGTCCAGCAGAACCAGAGCAGGGTGATCATCAGGATGGTCACCCTCTCAGAACCATCCTTCTTCTGTTCCCTCTCTCCCTGCCATTTGGAAACAAATATCAGACCCTTAGCCCACCCCCTGCTTCCAGAAACGATCTCAAGCCCTTCCTCCAACTCTGCCAGCCCCACCTGCCAGGACGCTCTCACAGGACACCAGTGCTTGGCTGCACATCCTCCCCTGCTGTGTTTCTACCCCAGATTTCTATAAGTATAAATTTATGGATGTATAGTATTTACTCCCTGGTCACCTATCTCCATGCCTCGTCAGGTGCTGAAGAGGTCAGACTGTGTTTTCTCATTTCTGCTTTCTGGAGAGAGGGCTGGCCTAGGGGTCACCTTTGGAGATCTGGCCTCAGTTCATCCCCAGACCTGTCATTCAGTCCTCCCCCCACCCTCCCCTCACCCCCAGTGACTCTGGCTGCCACTCACCACCAGCTCCTTCATGTTCATTTTGTGGATGATGGCTCGGACCAGCTCTGGAGGTGCAGGGGACCCGGCGATCACACCTGAATCAGAGAGCGAGGCTGACACAGCTCCCCCTTCTCCCAGATCAGTGGACCCCCTTTATCTACTGCTGGTTGATCCTGGACCTTCTTTCCTTCTTTCCCTTATCCTGGGCCTATTTCCACACCTAACATCTGGCCTGCGCCTGGTGTCCAGGGACACTGGGGATTTGCCTCCCTCTCACCCATGTTTTCACAGGGCCCTTCCTGCCCTCCCTAAAGAGAAGACTGGCTCATTCAGGCCAGTCCTGGGGGAAAGCAGCCCCGTCCCCATGCCTGGCCATCCTTGGCCCTACCCCACCTCCACTTAAGGATGATAAGTCGTAACTGGAGAAGTCGGCCTGGTTCATAATGTCCACGAACATCGTTGGGGTGCCATATATGAAGGAGCCTCTGTGTAAGGGGAGGGTCTTCAAATTAGGCTTGGAAATGGAAAGGAACTCCCTCTTCCCACCCCACCATGAACCTCATTAAGGGCCAAAGCCAAAGCCGTGGGGAACAAGCAGAAGCTCAAGGCAGGAATTGGTCTTCTCCTGGGAGTCCCCCACGACCCCATCCCAGGTCTCATGACTAGAAGGAGGAGACATTTTGGAAAAGGTCAGGGCTCAGGTGCAAGGACTAGGAGAATCTCATCAGCCCATGGGTAGCCTGTCTACCAGTGCCCACTTCTCTCTGGTGATGGCCTCCAGCGCCTTCTTGCCATTGAAGCTCGGAGAGGACAGAAGGAGAGTGGCACCGTGCATCAAACACATCATCGTGCCCCCCACGGAGCCCAGGCAGTGGTACAGGGGGCAGGGCATGACCACCCGCAACTCCTCTGGCGGCTAAAGATGGAGACATGAGGCTGAGTCTATCATGGGAGTAGAAGCCCCAGAAGCCAGTTCCTCCAGCCAGCAGGGGGAGCCCAGCAAGCTGTCCCGCTCTGCCCACCTCCCCACAGCCGCCAAGCCTTGCCCCAGTCCAAACCCATCTCACCTTCTCATGCATTTTAAGGCGCTGGCCTATCATGTTGGAGTTGTTCACAATGTTGTAGTGGGAGAGGGTGGCCCCCTTGGGGCTGCCTGTGGTTCCCTACGAAGACAAGCAGGTGACACCTTGGCCTGCTTTCCCCCATCTCCTTCCCACCCTCGGCCACTGCCCAGGATGGATGCCCCAGATCCATTTGCTTCTCTGGTATATGTACCAAAGGTCTACCACGCGCAGCATGGGACCAGATGTGGGGATCCAGAAATGCGAACGAGAAGGACTCAGTGCTCATGTCACTCCCATGTGAGTCACGTGAGGAAGCTCAGGGAATTCTGTGGCCCACTAGCCGTGTGGGCTTGGACAAATTCTCTCTCTGGGCCTCAGATTTGCTTCCACTAAAGGAGGGACAAGTTCTATCACTTTAAACTCTGAGCCCTAGTGGTTCAGTAAATCTGTACCACAGCGGGGAGCAGGAGGGCCAGGAAAGGGTCGTGTGACAAGGACACCAGCGATTTTCCAAGGCAGAGCAGAAGGGTAGAGGCCAGTGTCAGGAGAGTGCCTGCTCTCCTGACTTCCTGCGGTCTCCCCATCCCTGGGAAAGGGTCACAGAAGGAGGGGGCATGTGTCAGCTGGGCTTGGGGCCTGGAGACCTCTGCCCTACCGAGGTGAACTGGATGTTGATGGGGTCATGGCAGGACAGGAACTGCTGGGTGTGTCGAAGCTGGGCCAGATGCTGCTCTGTGCTACCAGCCGCCACCACATCATCCAGCAGCAGGGTCCCCGGCAAAGGGTCGTCCACCGAGATGACTGTGGTCAGATCTGGGAGACTGGGGGATAGGGAGGATGGTGAGAAGCAGGGGCTGTGGGTAAGTTAGGGGTTGCTCCAGGGGATGCCAGCCCCACCCCTGGGACTTGATGGAGGGTAAAGGAGTCAGGGATGCTTCGTGGTGCTCCCCAAATCCAGGATACACCTACCTCTCACTCTTTAAGGCCCCTGGCTGGGCCTTTTCAAGCTCCGGACAGATCTGCTTCAAGATGTTGTAGTATTGCTGGGTCTTGAATTGCTTGGGGAATACGAGGGCTTTGCAGCCCACCTGTGGAAGGGCACCCCCCCCCCCCACTTATGATCAGCAGGAAGCCCCAGACTAATCAGCTGCTCTTTTACACATGTGCATCACTACCCTGATGTACGCAAGCACCATCCTCTGACCCACACACCGGCTGCACCTGCATGCACCTGACTCCACAGCAAACACACAACCAGCTCCAGACACCACACCCTGAGACATGGGCCACACACGCAGAGCCACACTGGCCCATGACCACTGTGATACACATGTGCTCCCCAACAACACACACGCCAGCCTTGTGTCTGGCCCACCACCAGAGGCTTGGGTCCTCCTTCCAACCACAAACAGCTGGGGGAGGGACACCCTTGCTGCCTGGCCAGGTCTGGCCCCTGAGCCAGGCACCAGCAGGGGCGCTGAGCTACCTTTTTGAGGACATACTCCAGTTCCATAGCCTGGTAGGCTGGGTTCACAGACACCTGGGGGGAACAAGGAGGGAATGTCTGTCCTGGGCAGCCACTCCACCCTGCAGATGCCCCTCTACTCTCAGAAGGCACGAGGTAGCACACCACCCGGTCTACATGGTGGGCCTTAAGAGACAGAACTACCTGATCTGAAATCAGCCAGGCACTGGTTTGGTTCTGGGGCCAAGAGGCAGGTGGGTTCCTCTCGAGTGGCATTCCCCCCACAGATACCCCCCTGCACCATGCAAACCTCCTTACCAGAATGATGCCTGCCTGGGCAGTGGCCAACTGCATGAGCACCCATGCATAGGAGTTGGGTCCCCACATGCCCAACCGGTCACCCTTGCAGAGGCCAATGCTCAGAAGACCAGAAGCAGCTTTATCCACCTGGTGCAAACAGATGGATCACAGAGGGTGAGATGGGAGCAAGCAGGAAGGGGCCCATGACTCTCACCCTCAGCCCTTGGCCCAAAGGTTCACATCAGAATCACAAGGAATACCGGGACAGGCAGATTCGCCTCAGTGGAGCTCTGGGTGGAGCTCGAGGTACACACAGTTAACAGTGCTCCAGGAGCTGCTGAGACAGACCATCTCTGCCTCAGTTATGTCTGCTTCTCTTGCTGTCCCTTAGGTCCTCAGGCCACCACACTGCCCATCATCATGTCCCACCCTCCAGCTCCACCCACCCAGGGAAGCCTGGGGACTGGCACCTGCCCCCTTTGAGGGTTCAAGGTCAGGACCCACCTCTTCCTTGAGTTGGGCGAAGTTCAGCCTGACGTTTTCATGGAGGACAACCAAGGCCTCTCGGTCGGGGAACCTCTGTGCTGTGGCATCAAGGCACTGCCCCACAGTCTTGTTGATAAGAGGGAAACTGGTGTGTCCCTGAAGGTAGCTGAAGCCCCCGACGGGCAGAGGGGCGGTGCGTTCCAGCTCTTGGGAGCTGTGGGGAGAGGGTCACGGTCTGAACTGTGCCAAGCTGGCCCTCCCTGCCAACAAGGACACCCAGCACACCCAGCCTGGGGTCAGATTGCCAATGTGTCAGAGCAGAGTTTTCTCTGGATCTTTTTATAAGCCCAGGACACTTCCTGTGACGCTTCCCCAACCTCAAACAAAACCCCAAGGTAGTAGGATGGGGACAAAGCCACCTCAAGTAGGGGACAAGGGTTCTTCCCTCATCTGCCTCACCTGAAGGATAAAGTGCCCCAGGAAGCCTGTGGGAGACCACTTATACACACACAGAGATCTTATGAAGCATGCCTGTACCTATACCCCCAATCCCTGCCTGCCAGGAAATAAAAAGGTCCCTGGGGTTCTTAGGAACCAGTGAAACCCATGCTTGGACCCAGAGTGGGAATCCAGGACCTTGGGTTCTTTGATGGGCCCTTGTTTCTCTCCTCTGGGTCTAAAGTTCAAAGACAGAATAGGCAAAGGGTTTAGGAGGCAGATGGTAGCCCTAGGAACGGTGGTTGGAAAGATCCTGTTATTTGACAGACTGACCAGGTTGCAGCAAGAATCTTCCCTCCCACAGATGAAGAAAAAAGTCCCTGTGTTCTGAATGGCACCTGGGCTCAGGCTCCCAACTCTCAGGTGACACGGCAGAGCAGAGGTAATTGTGACAGGAAAAGAGGGGGAGTATTTGGACCACATGGTGGTCTCAGGCACCACAGGGCAACAAGACAGAAGGAGATGGTGCCACAGTAGCAGATGTCCCGTGCCAGGCACAAATGGACTGTCCCTAAAGAGGAAACGCTCATCTCCTCTACGTCAAATATCTAAGGTTACTTTGTTTTTTTAAGGGTTTTATTTATTTGTTTGTTTGTCACACATGACAGCAGAATGCATTTCAATTCGTAGTACACATATAGAGCACAATTTTTCATTACTCTGGTTGTACACAAAGTAGAGTCACACCATTTGTGTTTTTGTCCATGTACCTAGGGTAATGATGTCCATCTCATTCCACCCTCTTTCCTATCCTCATGCCTCCTCCCTTCCCCTCCCTCCCCTTTGCCCTATCCAAAGTTCCTCCATTCTTCCCATGATCCCCCACCCACCCACCTCCATTATGGATTAGCATCCACTTATCAGAGAAAACATTTGGTTTTTTGGAATTGGCTTACTTCACTTGATATGCTCCAACTCCATCCATTTACCTGCAAATGCCATGATTTTATTCTCTTTTAATGCTGAGTAATATTCCATTGTGTATATATGCCACAGTTTCTTTATTGCCTAAGGTTGCTTTAATATACAGTGAGAAACTGATGTGATTCCATTTTTGAAAATAAATAAATAACAGCAGCTTCTACCTCAAGGCCTGTCCTAAGGAAGGGGGTATGACCCTTGTCCTTGGAAAAATCCACAGAGCACTCCTAAGCACATACCCACCCTGCTAAGTTGTTTGTCTACAAATAACAGGAGAGATCTGCAGCGGTTCCAGGTGGCTCTGACTCAGTCAGTCTAGGTGAGGACCCATAGCAACCCCCTAGCAACCACCAATCAACATGAGACAGGGAAAATACCTGGGATGCCAGATGACGCCCCCAATAGTTTATGGTGATTGATAACATGTTGGGAAACCATGTAGTTTAGCATGTAGACCCCTCATAGCCTAAATCAATCAGTTCAAAGGAATCCCCCTCTTGTACTAAACAATCACCCCTACCCAACTTGTTCCCACCAGTGAATGTGCTAATCAACATTAAGAGCTGTTGTTTGATTTTCCTGCGGTATGGAATGATTTGCTGTGTGATGTTGTGATGCATAGAGTATCCCCCCAAAACCTATAAAATCTCACTGAACAAAGGACCGGGACTCACTCCTTGGGACTGCTACGTCAGAAACAGTTGTGAGTCCAGGCTCGAGCTTGCAATAAAGACTCTTGTGTGATTGCATAAGATTCGGTTCCTGGAGGTCTACTGGAGTCCCAGGAATCTGGCATTACAACAGAAATGTATTTGGGGAGCTAGGGTTGTGGCTCAGTGGTAGAGAGCTTGCCTAGCATGCATGAGGCACTGGGTTCGATTCTCAGCACTGCATACAAATAGATAAAACAAAGGTCCATCAACAAATAAAAAAAATACTTAAAAAAAGGAAAATGTTATTTAAAAAAAAGAAATGTTTTTTGAAAGACATATAAGTGAGAATTATGAATTCCCTTCTCCTCCTGGTAAGGAAGCTGAAGGGCAAAGAAGTCAGATGCCTGCAGGGATGGCAAATAACTGAGCTGAGGCAGGGAATTCAGTGGAACTTCAGCTGCCTCAACACCTACAGCCAGGTCTGCCACCCTGATCCAGGGAGGAGGCACAGGGAGGGGCAATTCCTGCTCTTTCCACTTTGAATTTATTCCCTGTCTGACCATCAGAGACTATCTGGTCTCAAATTTTATTTATTCCACAAAATATTTATTTTTTTCTACTAGCTGATCCCAACACATAGACTAGAGTAGACCCTGGCAGAAGGGAGACAGGTGGCTCCTCCAGGGAGTTAAAAGAGTTCTAGAAACTCCTATCAATGCAATTTGCTCATAAAGGTAGGAACCACCCCTGTCATTTAGTCATTTCAAAAGCTGATTCTCCTTCCCTGGCCAAACCTCAATCACCTGGGCCAGATAGGCAGCCATTTGTTTTTCTGTTTTTAAAGAGAGCTGGGGAAGTTCCTCTCTAAAACAAATGTTTTGTGGTTTTCATTTTTGTCATTTTGTTTTGTTTTGGGGTGTGGAGGGAGGGAGCTTAAGGAGTTGGAGGAGGAGAACCAGCAGACCTTGTTGGTCTCAACTCACAAAACTAAAGTCAACAACCTTTCATACGGCCATCAGCTACTTAGATTGGGGAGGCCTTCCACAGCCAGATGGGACTGAAGCCAGGAAAAAGACAAAGCCCAGCCCCACCCAATGCTGCCCTTAAGACAGTTGGCCCAGATCTTATTTTATAAGCGAGAAGTTGGGAACAAGGAAATTTGGGGATAGCAGTCGGTGGGTACTGGAAATTGAACCCAGGGGCTCTCTACCACTGAGCTACACTCCCAGTCCTTTCTTATTTCTTATTTTGGGACAAGGTCTTGCCAGGTTGTCCAGGATAGCCTCAAACTTTCAATCCTCCTACCTCAGCCTCCCCAGTAGCTGGGATGATAGTTATGTACCACCACATCCAGAGAGGCCATTTTTTAAAACTTTTTTTTTAATTTGTTCTTTTTAGACTCCATGTATGTATAATATACTCCATGTATGTATAATTTTGACTATTATACATACATGGAGTATAACTTCCAATTCTTGTGGTTGTACATAATGTGGAGTTACACTGATCGTGTATTCATATGGATATAGGAAAGTGATGTCCAATTCATTCTACTGTCTTTCTTATTCCCACCCTCCTCCTTCCCCCTTCATTCCCCTTTGTCTAATCCAAGGGCTTCTATTCCGCCCCCCCCCCCATTGTGTGTTAGCACCTGCACATGACAGAACATTCGGCCTTTGATTTTGGGGGATTGGCTTATTTCACTAAGATTGATAGTCTCCAGATCATCTATTTACCAGCAAATGCCATAATTTCATTCTTATTTATGACCAAGTAACATTCCATTGTGTATATATATATGCCACATTTTCTTTATTCATTTATTTGGTGAAGGGAACTTAGTTTGTTGATTCCATAGCTTAGCTATTGAATTAAGTTGCTATAAACATTGATTTGAGGCTACTGTATTGAACTCAGCTCCTGCACTGGGCTCCAACTGACCAGACTGAAAATCAAAATGGAGTCACCCAGGCTGAAGTTCCACATTGTCAAACAAAATGAAGCCATTTATATGAACTTTCAGGATACCAGGAAAAAAATGAGAAAACAGCCTAATTTCCCACAGGCCAGTTTCAATCAGCGTGATAATGATCCTCACTCAAAATATGGTAATCTAAAGTAATCTAATCTTAACCCATCAGCTATTTTTCTGCAGTTCTATCTCCCTCTCCTCAGTATACAAGGAAAGTAACTTTGAAATTTGTTCTTTGTTTTTGCTTTCCCTTCTCTGTCTATAAGCCCAACCTCTTTGGCTCAGTCCATTACAACATTTCCTGTATTTTAGAGAAAGTAGTTGAAGCAGACTCCCTCTGAAATGAGGGGCAACTTTCTGATAACTTGTTTTGTTGTTGTTGTTGTTATTTGTTTCTTTCTTTCTTTTTTTTTTTTTTTTCTTGCAGGATTGGAAACAGCCCCTTTTGAAATTAGAGCTCCAAACTGATTTAACTTCTGAACTTCCTCCACTGGCTGAGAACAGACCAAGGAAACTGAAAATGACCAGTTCCCTGGCTGACTAAATCTGCTGATGTCTATTTCCTGTCTTTTGTTGTACTTTGCTGTCATTTCTATTCTAAAAGCCGGCCTCATCTTTGAACTCTCTGAAGATGGAGATTGAGATAGAAAGCCTCCTCTACTTTCCTTCAAAGACAGTTTTGAATAGATTGTCTTCCTGCCAAGCTGACTCCCCCGAGTATTTGTGAGGTACAACAAGCAGTAAAGCTCTTGCCCCGCATATAACATAGAGTTCCTGGATTCTAGGACTGAAAATAAAGCCAACTACAATGTTTAAACTAGCCAGGCTAGTGGCATGCGCCAGTAGTCTCAGCCACTTAGGAGGCTGAGGCAGGAGGAACGCTTGAGCCTAGTAAATTTAGAACTCATTTACTATGTGGTTAAGGTGCCTCCTCTAATCAGCGTATTTCCTGTGAGATTTGTTCTTGTTATTCTCCTCCTCTTTTGTGAATTAAAAAAGAAACATCTGGGGCTGGAGTAGTGGCTCAGTGGTAGAGCGCTTGCCTGGCATGTATGAGACTCTGGGTTTGATCCTCAGTACCACATGTAAGTAAATAAATAAAACAAAAGATCTGTTGGCCACTAAAACAATATATATATAAAACAAGCATCTATTTGTGTGACAATACAC